GGCTGCAGCAAAGTCGAACGCGGATGAGCTTAAGAAGAAAACTGTCTCACTTCTGGAGGAGTATTTTAGCGTGAAGCTTCTGGACGAGGCCTTGCAGTGTGTCGAGGAACTCAAATCCCCTGCCTACCACCCAGAGGTCGTAAAGGAGGCAATATCCCTCGGGCTGGAGAAAAGCCCGCCACGTGTCGAGCCCGTTTCGAAACTCATCCAGTACTTGCTCGAGAAGAAGGTAATCAACGTGAACGATGTAGGCACTGGGTGTCAGATCTATGCTGCCACGCTGGACGACCTGGCTATTGATTTACCAAAAGCACCGGCCAATTTTGGCGAGATTATCGGGAACTTGGTTTTGGTGGGAGGACTGGACTTTAAGGGGGTGAGAGAGATTTTGGGGAAAGTGGGTGATGACTATTTACAGAAGGCCATATTTGATACCGCTGTGAAGATTGTTGCTTCATCCGGATCAACAGGGAAGGAGCTGCTCGACTTGCAGGCGGCTGACATTGAAGCCTGCAAGAGCCTGTTTTAGGGTTCCGGTTGGAAAAACCTCATGGATTTGATATGGAGCGGGCTGTATAATTTTATTCTTGAGGTGGTGTCATAGTTGCGCGTGTTCTTCCATTAGAGAGGAAGCTATAAAGTTATTTAGAACTTCCGAGAGATTTTGATTCTGGTGCGGCCATGGCTTCTCCAGGAAGAAAAGGTTCCTTTGTCAAGGACCAAGTTGTTTTGTATTTTATTAGTTTTTTTGTTTTTGTTTTTGTTTTTTTTTGTTTTTTAAATTGTTTTTGTCTCGACTTGATTAAATTTTGGTTAACTTTGTGAGTCATAATTGCGACTGTGCAACAGTTATGAAGAGAATGTTATGGTATATTGTTGTTCTGTTTTTGACTTGAAGGAAGACATTTTTCGTTATTGGTGTTTTTTCTGGGTGTTGGTTGGTTGGTTGGTTTGCATTTTATGTAAAAAAATGTATGTAGAATTCGGGCTGCAATCGAGTCGAGCAGCTCGCGAGCGCGTCAAAGCTCGACTCGAGCTCGAGTTTAATCGAACTCGAGTCGAGCTCGAGCAGCTCGTGCACGAACTCGAGTCCAGCTTGAGTTCATATTTTGTATTGTCGAGCTGTTCGTCGAGCGGCTTGACGTATATATTAAATTACTAAAATACTTCTCATCTATTTAAATTATAATACAAGTGTTTAATGGTGATTTTATTTAAAAAATTTCGAGTCGAACTCGAGCTGAGCTCGAGCATTTGATTTCGAGTTGAGCTCGAGCTTCATAAATCGAGCTCGAGCAACTAAAAAAAAAAAAAATATCAATCATGCTCGATAAGGTCAATGCTGAACTCGACTCGTCTCTTTTGCAGCCCTATTGTAGATATAGTGAGTATAGAAGTGATGTATATTGTTAATTTGAACTATTAATTTTTTATTATGGACATTTTACTATTTTAGTGAGTTGTGTGCAAGGGCCTCAAGCACTTGCAAATTGCAATATTTTTCAGTTTTTACATTAACTTCCCTGGTAGTCGATATCGTGTCATGAACCATGATAGCACACGAGTATAAAATATACTACTAAGATTCTTGTTTTCTATTTATCTCTGTATGATTTCATTCTATTTTTATGATATTTAATCTTGGTGCAGCTCCACAAAATTTGATTTGAACCATATTTATAAGTTTAGCTAGTAAGTTGAGAATGTTGTACTTAATTGTACCTTTCATTATAACTAAAAAAAAATTGAAGTTACAAAAACTCCTCATACTTGTTCCACATAATTATCGACCAACATAGTATTTACAAATATGTGTTATAACTTTATTAATACATGGCATGCTTTAAAAAAAACAATATAAATAAAACTATGAAATTTGATAAGTATACATGTGCATTTTTATGTTTTTATTCAAATAGTAATGTTGTTAAACCGCCTAAGCAGTTAAACTGTCATTCATGATAATTTGTAAATTATTCTAACTTCTACAATTCCCGTGAATTCCACAGATGTTTCATAAAAACTAATTGTGCAAAAAAAAAACAAAAAAATGAAAAAGAAATAAAATTCTTATTGCGAAATAAAAAATTATAAATAATTAATAAGAAAGTACTTTATATTTTACTATTTAGAAATTTTAAAAAGTATTTTTATGGTTTATAGAGAATAGGTTGAAATATGCTCGACTGAAAGGTAATTTATTTTATTTGATATATATTCATTTTTGTCAAAATTAAAAAGACTAATTAATTTATTCGGCAATTAATATAGTGTCTGTGAACAACACGGGTGTTTGAAAATTAAATATTAGTATCAAAATAAAGGAGTGAAGAAATTTAAATTTTTATAATAGAATGATAAAAAATTAAACATACAACTAATAATAGAACAATAACAAATTAATTATTTAAAAATAGACTCACATTTTATTCTCGACTTGTCAATGATACGATTTTTTTCAAGGTTGATTATATTGTAATAATATCTTATATTTATACTGTTTTCTTCCCTAATCTAATATTTTCTTAAAAGAAATATCTTAAACTTGTAATATTCAATAATTGAAAATATAATGTTTGAG